GGAACGGCCCGTTCCAGAGTAGAAATTAACACATATTTTTCCTTTCCAGAACGGCCCGTTCCAAATTTGACTTGTTTGGAACGGCCCGTTCTGGTATTGGAACAGCCCGTTCCGGTATTAGATTTTAGGTGTTTTAGTCACGTTGGAACGGTCCGTTCCGAGGTTCGGAACGGCCCGTTCCGATTCTGGAACAGCCCGTTCCGGGCTACTAAAACAACCTTATTTGATCTTTAGGCCTTCTGACATCCTATCTTGTTGTTTGCCTGCTTCGGGAGCTCCTTTCCTTCATGATGTAGGTCCATTTTCTTGTTTGTGTGCCCCCCGGACGAAATTGGGTGTCTACAAGAACAATGAAGGATGCTTGGTTGATATGAGTTCTGGTAGCATTGGATGAACAAATTTATAGAGAAGGCATGACCGAGATGCCACTGTCATTGATAGAGGTGGGTCTATGGGGATTCAATGCCTTGCTCACGTAACGTGTACCTGAGACATGGACCCCACAAGGAATCAACTTCCTTAGAAGGCGTGGTCGAGATGTCACTATCGTTGACAGATGTGGGCCCTATAGGAAATCAATGCCTTGTTCACATAACATGCACACAAGAGGTGGGCTTGCTCGCGGAACGTGCACCTGAGAGGTGGGCCCCATAGGGAATCAATTCCCTAAAAAGGCATGATCGAGATGTCACTGTTGTTGACAAATGTGGGCCCCACAGAAAATTAATTCCTTCAGAAGGTGTGACTGAGATGTCACTGTCGTTGACAAATGTGGGCCCAAGTGGTACGTTGATTAGGGTTTATGGGTCAATTTTTTTTTTATTTTTCACTAAGTTTTTCTATGACTTAGATATATTTTTGACTTGTGAAACTTGTAACATTGGATTCATTGATATGAAAACCATTGAAATAAGTTGGTTTTAGTAAAAAAAACTCAAAAACAAAAATTACATAAAATATCGTTCCCAAAGTGCTACGTTGGTTAGGGTTTATAGGTAAATTTTTTTTTTAATTTTTTCACTAAGTTTTTCTATGACTTACATATATTTTTGACCCTTGAAACTTGTACCATTAGATTCATTGATATGAAAACTATTGAAATAAGTTAGTTTTAGTAAAAACACTAAAAAAAATTATATAAAATATCATTTCCAAAGTGGTACATTGGTTAGGATTTCATTTTTTCACTAAATTTTTAAACTCAATTTTTTCAATGACGTTGTGGCTTTGTGTTAGGGTAAGGTTATGGTAATGGTTAGGGTTATTGTAAGGGTATGTGTAGGGTTAGGATTAAGGTATTGTCAGGGTTTAGGGTTAGGGTTATAGATAGGGTTAACATTGGATTCCTGACCCCTCTTAGTAAAGCATTGATGACACCACTACGTAAAGCAATGATTCCTAACACGTCTGAGACACAACATTGATGACACCATTGCATAAAGTAGTGATTCCTGACGATGTGTGAAGGTGTACAATATATTTTCTCACTAAATCACAATCTCAACCATTCATTGTTTTTAATATTATATCTATGGTGATTTTAAATGCACCATCCATGGACCACTTGTCCAACTTCTCCATCATAGACATCACCATGAATCGTACCTAAACTGAGAATCGACCGAATATAAGTGAATATATCCTTTAATTTTGCTTTGAGTACAGCTTGTTGATGAAAAAAAGTTATAGGTTTATTGCCCTGTTTGATCCTCCATGGGCCAAGAGACGATGATTTGATTACTAGATTTCGAAAACTTTTCTCCAACATATACATTACTTATAAAATCAAATGATACTTTTTTTCACGGCATACCAAGTTCTGTATGTAGTAGTAAATTGATGTAGGAACAGCTATGTACTTTTACTTGACACACTCAAATACATGAAATTTTATTCATGACAAGATTTCTTTTTCCTAACATGGAATCTTCAAAACATGCAAATGACATGGTAAAAACTAGAATATTCTTATATCAAAACAGCTCACAAGTAATTAGCTAGCTAGCTAAACATCAAATTTAGCTGCAAGAAAGACATAGTTGGACGTTTTCCCATTTTATTATCTAAAAACCTTCATCAGCTTCACCTCCTCAAGCACCACGAATATCAGCCCCCTACTTGAATGATCTGATTTGGTTTCTCAATTGCCCCTAGCCCTAGTTATCTTCAATGATTTGAGCTCATCTAGCAACTGCATCAAGTTGTTGCAAGAGGATCCACCCTCCTCTATGCTCTTCTTGGCAGCATCACCAAGCTTTCTTACTCTCATCTTCATTTCACTTCTCTCTTCTTTTCCCATAATCAGTTTCACAGCCTTTGCGATCTCTTCCCTTCCCACAGCTGCATCCTCTCCCATGCTTCGCCACTTGTTTTCTTTCACTCCAACTGGGACTCCAATCTTCAACACATCAACTACCAACCTCTCATTGTAAAATTGATCAGCAAACATTGGCCATGTGACTATTGGCAATCCAGCACACACACTTTCAAGAATGGAATTCCAACCACAGTGAGTTACAATGCCTCCTGTGGCAGGGTGCTCCAATATCTGCAACTGTGGTGCCCAGTTCCATATGATGTAACCCTTCTTGCTCTCTTTCATCTTCTGCTCAAACTCTTGCAGGAAACTGAACTCATTCTCATTTCCATCATTTTTCCTGATGACCCAGATGAAACTGTGACCAGAATGTTCAAGACCATGAGCCAGTTCAACAAGTTGAGCATGAGGGAGCCTGGCAAGGCTTCCAAAACTTACATAAAGCACAGACTCATTTTGCTTTGAGTTGAGCCAATTTAGCCATTCTGAATCTTGTGCGAGGTCATCCCTGTGTCCCCTGTTAACCCAGGCTGAAATTGGTCCTAAACTCCAAGATTTGATCCCCACAGTGCTCCTATACAGTTGCTCATAATCTCCTTCCAGTTCATGAAAATTGTTGTACACTACTCCATAGCTTCTTCTCTCTGATTCATATACCGTCTCAAAAAAGTCATTGAGAAAACTATTGGTCGGTTTCCATTCTGCTAGCTGCAGAGGGGTCATCTCTATTCTGTGAGGCAAACCAGGAATTGTAAACTTGTGAGAATCAGAAAGCAACCTCTCATGAGGCTTGTGCTTCATGATAGAATGTCTGGCACATGTGGAGAAGTAGCTTGAGCTGTAATAGTAAAGCCTTGGAATGCCTAGTTTTGTAGCAGACTCCAATGTCCAAGGATACAACATATCTGTGACTATACAATCCGGTTTCAGATCTTGAAACAGAAGCTCAATTTGATCTTTGAGCACTAATGTCCCATGCATGAATTTTTCTATCATTTCTGGGGAAGTGCAATCTTTGAAACTCTCAACCCCATCAGGGAGACCAACTTGGACTGCAGGGAATGGAACAACTTGAGTCCTGATGTTGTATCCACAACGGAAGTCAGTGTCTGTGGCCTTTTGGAATGTGGAAGCATTAGCAGGAGTAATGATGATGGTAACACTAACACCATGCTTGGCAAATAGCCTTGCTGTGTCCACCATGGGGATCATATGGCCAGGTGTTGGAAATGGAAGAAAAATGACATTCAGTTGGTGCTGTGGTTCAGCTTCCATTGCTATTGCAGTCTCTGAAGGTACACAACTGGATGAGAAAAAGGATATGTTGTTGACGGTTGTAGTTTGTGAACGGTGGTCACGTTTGATGGGTTCACTAGTAATCATTTACAAATAACAGAGGTCAAATTTCAATAGAAAAAGTCTTTGTGTGTCAGGCATGCGATCGATTAATCAGTAGAAAAAGTTTCAATGGAGGAACGAGACAGTAGAATGTAGAAACATGTCTGCTCTAGGAAACTTTTTCTTACAGTTGCGCTAGCACGGATTATTCCTTTTCTTATATTAATTATTTCTATTTTTAATTGAACTATATATTTTTTTAGGATAAAGGAATGAAGGAAGAGAAAAAAAAAAAGTCCAAATAATCGGTAGGAGAAAGATCATCTAATTTAAAAAAAAAATGGAATAGAAAATCGAAAGGATTAAAAAAATAAAGATTACAAAAGAATAATATATAAAATTAAAATAATGACTTTTAATGACTCAATTTATTGACATAATTATCATCCAAATTTACAATTAGTTATTAACCCTTCCATTTTTCATACATTAATATTGTATGGTAGTTGTAAATATTAGTAAGATAAATTGACAATGTGACATGAATTATATGACCACAGCTTCCAAACAAGTTCCTATCTTATTTATAAGAGAAAATTGATTTAAATTTCTCTCATTTTTTTAAAAATCTTTTTTGACTTGGAATGGGTGAGGACATAGGTCGATATTTTATTTTATTTTCCAATTCTTTTATGATTTGTAAATATATGACATTAATTTTATAGATTTTTTTAATATGAATTTCCATGTAAATATGAATTTGTAAACATTTCTTGGGAAATATTGAAGGATTTGAATGTGAGACAAGTTATGTTTGAAGCAATTTAAATAACTTTCGAGAAATTTTTTTTAAAAAATTGATTTCCCAAATTCTATCTACCTCTAGAAGAATTAGAAAAAAAGTTTAAAATTATAATTGTTTCTACTGTAAGTTCGCTATCATTGTTAGGGTCACCGCATCCGAGGTATTGTCCGTTTTGCCTCATTGAGCCGTCATGATTTTGTCTTTTAAAAGACGCCTCAGTGGGTTAAAGAGGAAGGGTGTTTATAAATTACCCTTAGCCTCGACTGCTAAGCGATATGGGCCTTTTAGGCAATACTGGAACAAGTCCCCAGTCGATGCTAAGGGACAAGAGTGGCCTGGACCCTCCTTCTAGCGCCAATGTTCCTACCGTAAGTCCGTTGTCATCGTTAGGGTCACCGCATCTGAGGTATTGTCCGCTTTGGCTCGTTGGGCCGTCACGGTTTTGTCCTTTAAAAGGTGCCTCTGGTGCTTTGGTCGGGTCAAGATTGGTGGGGTGGCGAGGAAGTGCTTAAAGGCTGAGAATGCTGCTTTGCATTGGTCGGTCTATGCGAACTCCTTGGGCTTTCGGAGTATCTGTCTGATGGAGTAGTCGGTCTTGACGACGATATGGTGACTTTGGAAGTATGGTCAGAGTTGTCGGACGACGGTGACAAGCGCTAGGGCGAGCTTCTCGATGGTTTGGTACCTCGTCTCCGTTCGCCCCCTCTTCCTGTACGAGGGCTGCACTGATGGCGACGTCGGTAGCCGCGAGGTACAGGAGTAATTCGCCTTGGTGGATTAAGGAGGAAGGGTGTTTATAAACTACCCTTAACCTCGACTCCTAAGCAATGTGGGACTTTTAGGCATATCGGATCAAGCCCCCCAGTCGATGTTGTAACGTAGTAGGTTATTTCAAGAGGCCCAAAAGCCCAATATGGGTGATTTAGTAGCCCAGAACGGGCCGTTCCAAACTACTAAATTGACTTGTAAATCGTAGTGGAGAACAGGTCATTCTAGAGGGAGAACGGGCGTTCCAAATCCCAAAACGGGGCGTTCTAGAGGGAGTACGGGCCGTTCTGGATAGAGAACGGGTCGTTCTGGATGAGTCCCAGAACGAGCCATTCTGATTTCAGAACGGGCCGTTCTGCATATGATTTTTGTACGTGATGAAGGGGTGCAGAACGGGCCGTTCTAGATTCGGAACAGGCCGTTCTGGCCACTCCAAAACTTCTATAAATAGGAGTTGGTGGTTGAGGAGAAAGTGAAGTTTTTAGAGAGAAGTTTTAGAGAGAAAGGCTCTGGATTAGGAAGCGTGCGTTGGGAGGATTGAAGTTCCGGGTTGAGCTTCGGAAGGGAATTCTACTTCTTCTCATTTATTGGCTATTTTGAGTCAATCTTCAGGTGAGGGAAGCTAGAATGTAGGTTGTTTAATTTCAGGAGAGTTAGGGAAGCTTTATGCATGGTGTTCATTTGTTGAAATAGTTGAGTTGTTGGGTGCTTGAGTTGATTTATGTTGTTTATATTGTGTAAGTTGACATGATAGATGAATTTTAAATATATTGTATATTGCTGAAGTTGTTTATAAAGTTGTTAAGTTGCATTAAGTTGATATTGTAATGACTATAGTTGTTTAATTAAGTTGTTTGAATGTTGGTAAAATTATTAAAGTTGAATCGTTGTATAAATGAATAAGAAGTTGTTAAGCTGGTATATAATGTCTATTGTTGTATTGTTGTAAGTTGTTTATTGTTGTAAGATGTTTATTGCTGTAAAGTTGTTAAGATGTCTATTGCTGTAAAGTTGTTAAGATGGCTATTGTTGTAAAGTTGTTAAGATGCTTATTGCTGTAAAGTTGTTAAGATGCATATTGTTGTAAAGCTGTGATGATGAGTTGTTGACCACTAGGAAGTTGCTCATCCCATTGTGTGGATTGAGATAGTTGTGGTACTCTAAGAGCCCAATTTGTTGAAAAACCCTCCTTGGGAAGTTGTCCCTTGGAGTGGACTTTGTGTTGTTCTCCTCTAGGACTTAGTTGATCCCGTGTGTGGGCAAGGTCGAGGCACACGTGTATAAAGCGACCATGGTATAGGGACAAGGTCGAGCTATACCGATTATAAAGCGACCACGATATAGGGGCAAAGTCGAGCTATACCGATTATAAAGCGATCACGGTATAGGGACAAGGTCGAGCTATACCGATTATAAAGCGACCACAGTATAGGGGCAAAGTCGAGCTATACCGATTATAAAGCGACCACGGTATAGGGGTCAGGTCAACCTATATCGATTACAAGTAACCAATTTGAGTAAAGTACGAAGTCAAGAACTTAGTTCCTTTACCGAGTACTATACTTCCTTGTTTAAGTGGCAAAGTCTGAGAAACCATTATCGTGTTGTGGATTGATATCCAAATTTGTTGTGTTGTCGGTGCGGTAGGCCCTAGCCACTTAGACTACTTACCATGTTGTAGGAGATCTCCGAGTCGAAATGCGTGACGACGCATAAGTTGTTAATGAGTTGATTTTTCGTTGATATGAGTAGTACATACGTTGTTGTGTTGTATGTTGACCTTGTTGAGGATGATAATAGTGTTGTTATGTTGTAAGTTGCTTATTTGTATACAAGTTGATGATGATGCTAGCGTCGCTAGATTATCTGTGTTGTAAGTTGCTTTTAATATATGTGTTGGTTGTTGTTATGATGAATATGGTTGTTTGTAATGATGATTGATATGCATTAATATCTGTTATGAGATACATCTATGAACATGATTGCTAGTTGGATGATTGATTTTTGAACTCTAACTTACCCTTCTGTTTCCATGTGGTGGAACTGCGATGATCATACTTGGTATGGGAGCAGGTCAGGGCTAGCTTGGAGTTGAGGCGTCTGTTACGAGACGGGGAGTTTTGATCCTCGTGTTAGAGTTACCATTTTGGGTAACGATTTTGTCTATGCTTGACCGGCACTAAGGAATATTATTTTTGAGATGACTGTACATATATGAAGTTCTATTTTATAACCAGAAACTTAGTTATTTTCATTTTTATTTGTATATGTATCTATGAGTTATCCAACTTAATATTTCTCTTAGTTTCACTAGCAGTAGTGTGATTCCACTAAGTGTAGAAATCATGGCAGATCGTTATAGATGCTAAGGGACAAGAGTGGCTTGGGCCCTTTCTCCTTACGGTAAGAACAATAATAAACATAAGTATTCTTCATATGTTGATTATTTTCACATTTTCTTCATATTCTTTTGAACTAATTATAATGAAAACATAAATAGCAATGAACACCAACCTTTGCTAGAAACTTGTTGGACATCTATTTAAAAGGTTCATTTGTTGTTTTCCTTTTTCATTTTTTCTATTTATTTTTATATTAATTTATTTTGTTTTAATTTTTTTGCAGTTTCAGTTATATTGCTAGAAAAGTATTGATTATTAAATAAAAAATTTAGATGTTTTAATTATTAAAAACTTACTTACATGAAACTAAATATTTGATTCATCAAATGTTTGTTTTAATGATTATCGATGAGATTAGTTTTAAACAATGTTTTGAGGTTTTAAATCATAATGTTTCATTGTGATCCTTGATGATTTTGTATTCCAATAATTTTTTTTATGTGATTAATTTATAAGAAGTTTTTCAATAATTTTTTTCACTCAAATGAAAAGGAGTATGAATATTAAGATAAATAAGTAAGTAATATGTTGGTATCACACTATCAAATGTCTTTTTTAATTGAATACACTAGCAAGCACTTTAAGAAATAAAAGTAACGAGGTTAATTTGTATTTATGATATAAAATTAACTTTAAATTATAATATAGTTTTTTTACATAAAAATTATAATATTACTTTAATTATAATGTTTTAGACGTATACAATATAAAAGTATTAACTGGCATTTATCATGACAATAAAAAGTTAAATATTATATTATATGGTTATCAAAATAATTCGTACATCTTACGCCACAAACTATGCCTAAATTGAGAATGGACTGAATAAGTGAATATAGTTTTTATATTATTTTCAAGCATGACATTATTCATGGAAAGAAAGTTATAAAATGTCATTGCTTTTATTTTATATTAGAGGAGTCGAGACACTTCGTACCTTTAATAATTATATACAGACACAATATTAAAAGGTTGTTTGTAATTATTCAAAAAATATATAAATTTTTTTTTGTTTTTTTATATTTAAGATGTATAATAATCCATTAAAAATAAAAATTAAAAGCTGTTACACGTTCTTATATCCCTTTATAATAGATATAGATGGGCTATAACCGTTTAGGGACCAGA